TTATGTCAGCTGTGTTTCGGTTATACGCCTCTCTCCCCGTGTCATCCCTTCCTCCTTACTTCAAACAAAAACAGTTACCCTTTCTCCCTTCGATGGGACCCCCCTCCACCCCCGTATGGCTTAGGGAAGCAAGACCGTTCCCCGTCTTTCTATATCTCCCGGCCTTTCATAACCGGTTTGGCTTATGTGTACCATCAACACACGAGAGACGGCAACTCAGATGGCTCGATCGTGTGCTCAGGATGGACCAGGACCGTACATGAAATACAATTTCCCCAAGATGGACACCGCCGGGCGACGGCAAACCTGGGGGGCCCGAGACCACGTGGCACAAGGCCTCAAAGGCCGAGCTGGCAGCAGCGATCAACCTCGCTCGGGTCGAGGCTCAACAAGTTGACAAGGGGTGGGAAGAAACGCAGGGGACTCATTGTGCCCTCGTGTCCCGTGGGGGAAGAGGAGGATTAACTAACTGGCTCACGTGCGACTCAAAGCGACGCACATTTCCTCAATGAAAATTTAATATAAATGTTTTTTTAAAAAAAGGCGGCACCCACAACTTTTGATTTCAAATACCGTGCAGTCAAAAGGAAAATAGGTGCGTCATAATCCAGAGGATACGGTCAACATGCACCCGGTGTAGTTATGCTGCAGCCCAACAGCTTAATTGAAACTGGTTGTGTTGAAAATTACACCAACACTCAAGGTCTGCGTGCGATGTGGTTAGCCGATGCAGACCAAGATCACAGCAAATTGCCTCAATAGCCGAGACAACAATGCGAGCGTGTCTGCAAGCTGGCCCAAGACCTTACAGCGTTATAATTCGCCTCTTGCTTGACTTACTGCATTGCAAATACCACTAATTATTTTTTTTCTTGTGCTTTTGGAACATGTTAATTTCAGTACATGCCGTGCTCGCCTTGTACGCGAAGGTCAGAGAGGAGTGAGAGCGAGCCGCGTGAGCCGCTGGCTGCAGAGCCAAATCTTGCTTAGGCCGCAAATTGTGAAACTGCCCTTGACCAGCTCGCCAAGCGATGTATGTCCGTATGTTGAACTTCTTTAGCACCGTACGTAGTCAACCGTGTTAATAGGAGGTGCGCCCAATATCATCAGATCTAGCAAGCTAAGCACCGATGAGCCTGGATGATGCTTGGTTGGGTGACCGTCGTACATTAAGCGTGTATGCTAGGTTCCTACAGAGTGCCTCGCTGGTGAGATGTTAACTACCTCGCCTGGTGTGCGAGGTAGTTAGATCCCGACCATGATGCCTGTTGGATATTTGGACTTTGCGTGTCCCTCTCCCCGTGGTCGCGTGGATTTTTCTCCGGGTCCTACGGTTTGTCCCTGCACATTTAGAAACACACGTTTAGAGTATTTGTCTGCTATACATTACCACGTGATAAACCACTCAGTTGATCTTTCATTTGTGGCCAGGTTGCTTCTGATGAAGAGTTATATAGCTCAGTGGGCCTTACCTGGTAAGTGAAAAAAAAGTAACCCCGATATAATCCCCTTGCGATGTAGGGCCACTTTGTAAACCGCTGCAATAATAATAATTGAATGTTGTAATCCGCATTCCATCCTCGGATCCCAATGCGCAATGCATGAAAAGCAGGAAACAAAAACAGAACCAGGGGCAACCGACCAAAGTGAAGAGGGAAGGCCACTTCAAAGAGATGGGTTTTCAAAGCAGACTTAAATATAACTAGGCACCTCCAATGGAGGAGAAATAGCAAAACGACACAAACGCTCTCTCCGGAAGCATCTCGTGGCTACCAGACCCCGACATGGGCACTTAGCTCCTGAACGTATTGGTGGCACTTAGCTCCTGAACATGTTGGTGGCACTTAGCTACTGAATGTATTGGTGGCAGTTAGCTGCTGAACATATTGGTGGCACGTAGTGTCGATCTAGACTCCAGACACAATTTAAGTAAGACCCAGATTCGCTGAACAATTGCAATAAATATATGAAAATAATGTAAAAGTAATAACAACACTACAATAAACACGTTAATAGAAATATTCAAATTAATCAACAATACGTTTTACCCTTTCTGGAAATAAAACAGGTGTTAAGATGTTCAAACAACAAATAGGTACCATTAACACCTGTTTTGTAGCCGGAGAGTGTAAAACCTATTCAAAATTTTTATACTGTCAGAAAGTTCCCAATAGATACTCAAAATAATTAATTGCACGACTTTAAACTGAACGAGTACTTTGTGCGGGAGAGAAAACCCACAGAGCTGTTCTGGAACCCACTTGCTGTACCCCCCTCCCCCCCCTCCCCCGGAACCCACTTGCTGTACCTCCCCCAGAACCCACTTGCTGTACCTCCCCCCCCGGAACCTACTTGCTGTACCTCCCCCAGAACCCACTTGCTGTACCCCCCTCCCCCGGAACCCACTTGCTGTACCTCCCCCCCTTTCCCCGGAACCCACTTGCTGTACCTCCCCCAGAACCTACTTGCTGTACCTCCCCCCCCGGAACCCACTTGCTGTACCTCCCCCCCCCCGGAACCCACTTGCTGTACCCCCCCAGATCCCACTTGCTGTACCCCCCTCAGCACCCGCTTGCTGTACCCCCTACCCCCCCGGAACCTACTTGCTGTACTACCCCCCTGCCGATCACCTTGCAGCCTAATGGCTATGGGCGCTGCTTCACAGCGGCGTTCACCAACCCCCAACCGTCGCCTCCAAAGCTCCGGGGCCCAGCCGCGCGCTGCCACCGGTGGCTCTGAAATAAACTTGTAGCCATATTCTTTGGGTCTTTCGGTAAAGTCGCGTAAATAGGTTCAAAGAAAACAACAAAAACTACGACTCATCTTCTTTGGTTCTTTCGGTAAAGTCACGTAGAATGAGAATAAAATAATAAATTGATTAAATAAAATAACACAATAATATTCTCACGACGCTTGTGTTGTGGCCGAAACGTCGTGAGAATATTATTGTGTTATTTTATTTTATCAATTTATTATTTTATTCTCATTCTACGTGACTTTACCGAAATAACCAAAGAAGATTAATCCTTGCAGTCACGAAAGCTTTAAATCGAAAAAACTACGACGTTTCGATCGCTGCACAAGCGGGCGTCATCTTCTTCTCCTTTCGTATTGCGTTGTGAAAAGTGACAGTTTAGCTTTTTTCTTGATGATCGTCATAAATTAATGCTAAGGTTCCTCATCCAGTCCAATGATGTGGGGTTGAAGCAGTGTGGATTTCAGTGATACCGCCAGGATGTGCATGGATGGAGCATTCATCGGTGATGTGCTTGATGGTTTGGACTTCTCCACAGTCGCAGTTGGGCAATTCTTTGATCTTCCATTTAGGGAATGTGAACGCGCATCTGTCGTGTTGTGTTCGAGCACGGTTCAGTGTGGTCCATAGTAGTCTGAATATCCAATTCATCTTGAGAGCTTGGTGTACGTGCTCCAGTTCACTGGCTAGGTGATGATGGTCGGAAATACATCGAGTTCTATGGTGTAGAGTTTTCATGAGGGAATTCTTCTGGAATGGATGGTGGTGGTAGTCAGGTTTTAGGTAGGCATCCGTATGGGTGGTTTTCCTGTAGACAGTGTCCCATTGAGCCATCTGGTCTCTTTTCGATTAATTCTCTGGGAAAGAACCATCTGAGGACCCAATAAAAACCATCACCTTGCACGTTACATAACAGGGGTCACCAAAAAGATTTGCAAAATCATGAACAAACACAAGATCCAGGTTCGATTTAAAACAGTACATAAAATTCGTGATCTGATCCCTGACATGCAACACCCTGGCGTCTACAAACGAAGCTGTGTCTGCGGCAGTAGTTACATTAGGGAAACTAAGCGACATGTCTCGGACCGTGTTCATGAGCATAAGGCAGGACAAATACCTCGGCCATGGCTGATAATTGTTTAAATGCGGTGGGCTCACACGAAATTTATTCCACTGGCTATCAACGAAGATTCTTTCATGAAGCCATCCATATATACAGACACAATTTCAACCGAGAAGATGGGTACAAACTTAGCAATCATTGGAAGGACGTTATCAACCAATTTAAGTCATAACTGGCTGTGATGTTCCCATCCTGCCACCTTCTGATGTTAGTTGTTATTTTCGGCTCTCCGATTCTATATTAACAGGTTACATTTCTCACACCAACACAGCCACCTTCACGTGCCGACCTGGTGGTGGCGGTTCTGCGATCTTACATTAACACGCTCATCTCTCACATTAACATAGCCACCTCCGCACGCTCGCCGTGGAGGCTGCTCACCAATCTCACATTAACATGCTAATCTCTCACATTAACATAGCCACCCAGCGCACTCACCGTGGAGGCTGCTCACCAATCTCACATTAACACGCTAATCTCTCACATTAACACGCTGATCTCTCACATTAACACGATAATCTCTCACATTAACATGCTAATCTCTCACATTAACATAGCCACCTCAGCACGCTCGCCGTGGAGGCCACTCACCGATCTTACATTGACATGCAAATTTTTACGCACCACCATCGCGGTCGGCGCCCATCACTAACATTAGCTGCCCCGCCCATGCTGCTGACATTTGGGCTACGCCCATTTTAAACCTTTATAAACAGTTTTCCTTTAGAAACTAACACCCTTTCCTGATGACGATCGCTTATGTTGCGATCGAAACGTCGTAGTTTTTTTGTTATTTTCTTTGAACCTACCTAGGTGACTTTACCGAAAGACCCAAAGAATTCCTGCAGTGACGAAAGCTTTAAGTCATGATTAAACTTGTAGCTCACAGGTTTTTAACATTTAATATCAACTCCCCATGGCCGCTCGGCCCTTCTCTTGTGGGCCTTTTGGCATCTGGCGCATACCATGGTGGCAACGTGGCTCGCTTTCTATGTGTGGACTTCTTTCGCGCCGTACATAGTCAACCGTGCTCATGGGATTTGTTGTTGTTTGTTGCTGTTATCGTCTCCAATTCCTATGCCCCCCCCCCTCTCCCGATCCGATCGCGCGATTGCCCAGGCCTGGAACGGGGGTGATGCCTTCCCGAGGGTATTAGCACGCTCGACCGTCCGGAAGTCGACGGAAGGCTCAAGAAGAGCCGCCGGCGGCCGACGGACGCACGGATGGACACATGCACGGACTGATAGAGAGCCCCCCCGCCGGAGGCGCTGCGACGTGCTGCGCTCTCCGCTGCCGCGAGGAGACGGGGGAGTGGCGGTGGGCGGCCCAAGTCGGCACGCGACGGACGTCGACGCCACGTCCCGTCTGGAAGATGCCCCCCGCCGCATTCCAGCGACTTAGCGTCAGGGCGAACGGCTTCGACTTGTCGGCGGTCACGGGGAACAGAGGCAGATTGCGGTCGTTCGTCCGTTGAGCAGCGCGCGTGCGTGCGTGCGTGCGCGCCTTCGAACGCGCGCGCGCGTGCGCGCGTGAGCGTGTGGGAAAGAGACGCACGACCCTGGCAAGATCGTCCGACGGGCGGCAACGCTACATGCAGGCAAAACTTCGATCGCGCTCCGCCGATAACGAGTTATTTGCGTTGTCTCGCTGCGGCCGGATCGATCCGGCGTGTCGCAGTTCGCCTGTCCCTCGTAAAACTCGCTCGCTAGACGGTCGCCTTTGGGGCGGGCCGCCGCTCGATCGCAGTTTGCGTTGATCTCGAGGGACGTCGTTGGTCCGCCCTACCCCCACCCCCCATGCGCTTCTCTACGACAATGAAGGGGCGCGCCGACCGACCTCCATCCTCCCCACACCAGCTTGGTCAACAAGTGGCGCAGTGACCTTGTGTGTCGCGGCCGTCCATGCCGGCCGTCGGCTTGGCGAGTCATCGGACGTGTCGCGAGCATAGGGGCCTATCAACCCAACGAGTTCCACTACTGTTAGCGTTTTTGACTGTCTAGTGATCAGTGGCAATATTTTTGGATGCATTATATAATCAAATCGTAAGCAATTAAAGGAGTGAACGGAATTCCACATTCCGATGGCAGGACCAAGTCACGACACGAGGCAAGGCACCATTGCATTAGGGTGACAAACAACGGAAAAAAAAACTTTCACAGTCATACGCCCAACGGAGAGGAGGTGGGTTTTTTTTTTTTCTCCGAACGGTTCAGTGGCTCAAAGCCTTGCGGCAACGTGGAATAATATTTTTTTTAAAGTCCAGCCGGTTGACCGACTCACCCGGCCGACGGCGAGGCAAGATGCCGATCCTGACGAACAGCAATGAGCCGGACCTGAGCGACGTGGGCAGCTTCACGGCCGTGCCGGCGATCATCCGCCAGCTGGGGCCGGTGGAGGAGCCGCCTGCCAAGGCGCTGCACTACCGCATGGGCCGGCAGCTGCGGACTGGAGAGGCTCCCTTGCGCCAGCAGTCCGGACCACCCCGGCAGGTGAGCGGGTCCTCCGATATTTAGTTTGTTTGTTTTCGTTCCGCAAGCGTCACCAACCCACACGGACCAGCGTGGTGAAATATGGTCAGAGCAGCTACCGTGGCTTGACATGGGGGGGCTTAACCCAGCAGTGGATTGACAGAGAGGGCTGATAAGCTTGTTTTTAACCCAGCAGTGGATTGACAGAGAGGGCTGATAAGCTTGTTTTTAACCCAGCAGTGGATTGACAGAGAGGGCTGATAAGCTTGTTTTTTATTCGGAAAAGCCAGCTGCCCGACTGGTGGTGTAACGGTTCGCGCACCGGGCTTGCGACCCGGAGGGCGACGGTTCGATTCCACCTCCCGGCGCGGCTGTTTGAAAACAGCGGAAGCAAGTTTCTTAGATCACTCCCCAGCCGCCCACCTCTGTCCGCGCAGCAGCGTAGAGCTGGGTTGCACCACGGTCAACTGGCGGGTTGGCACGTAACGGAGTAAAGTGTGGGTACTCCCACGGCTCCCGAGACGCCACGGTGGCGAAGGTGGTGCCACGGTGGCGAGATGTTATCTACAGCGCCTGGTATGCAGGAGGCCGTGGGTTCGATCCCCGTGGTCACGTGGCTTTTTTCCGGTTCTTACCTCCACATGACGATAAGCCACTTCGTTGAGCTTTCATTTGTGGCCAGATCGCTTCTGAAAAAGAGCTATATAGCTCAGCGGGCCTTATCTGGTAAAAAAAAATAGTTTAGTAAGACATCTGGCCTGCACGGAAGAGCAGGCCACACACCCTCAGGAGACGCCCTCTAGTGCTCCCTGTAGTGGAGGCCCTTCTACCAGCAGTGGCGCGAGCTAGCAATTGCAGGGCTGCACCTTTAACCCTTCGCTTGGCACCAACTGAACACTTGATGGACACCGTGTCCCCCATGGTGGGCCGATCTTCCCATAGAAACTTCCCAAGGCGGAAGGCGACGTCCCGGAGTCACCGCCTTTTGAAGTGGCGGGGGGCCCCTCGGAGGGGGTAAAGGGCGCAGGTGGTGTGGGAGGGGGGCGCAATGTCCCTCATCCACCTCGCCCCTTGGATCCATCACTGGATAGCACTCGGGGCTGCCCCTCGAATGTTGAAGATGTATGCATGTTGTATGAATGTATATTGTATGTATGTTGTATGAATTTATGTTATATTATGTTCTACGTATGCTGCTTGTATGTTGTATGTATGTTGTATGTGTGAATGTATGTTTGTTTTTATTGAGTTGTACGCCTTTTGGCGTCTTCTGGTCCAACACCAATGGAGACTAGGCTCTAAGAAAAGCTGTCTCGGGTGTGGACCAATCAAATTCAAGGACAGTGCATATTATTATCAGAGTTGTCTTTTTTGTTTGCATTTTGACTGCTTGTGTTGTGGTTATTGCAAACATGATGCCTTGAATAAAGGTGTCAGTTTTTGTGCCAGTTAAAAGGGTAAAACCTATTCCTGTATGTTTGTTGTATTATTTTGAATGTATGTTGTATGTGTGTTCTAGATTGAACTTCTTTCGCACACCGTGCGTAAGCCAACCGTGACATTTGGTGCAGCTGAGTAGTGTGGTTTATATTTAATTGTTATTATCCAAGCGCTACCAGTGCTCAACGAAGATTACGATGGGCAGGGTGGAGGCAGAGGTTAATCCAGGTGGCGTCTGTAAAAAAAACATTATCGAGCTCAGTTGGCCTTACATAGTGAAATAAAACAAAGTTTAGCAAAAAGCTCCTGGATTGGATTGCCCGCAAGGGCGCATTGCCCTGCGGAGTATATATTTACGTGATCTAACCCGAAAAAAAAACACCTCTTATGGATAATATTTGTCGCGAAAACCTTAAACGGTGTGGAGTGTTTCATGTTCTCCCCTGTTATGTATGGATTTCCTCCGAGTTCTCCGTTTTTCCTCCCATAGCTAAACATTGCAACTTCAATGACGTCGAAAAGCAATATGAATATCCCAGAGATAAAACAACAACAACAACGTAGCTCGTGTGGGCGTGAACACATTCCCGTGCCGACAAATTACCTGCAAAAAAGACTAATTTGAGATTAAGCAGAGTTAGCAGCAACATTAGCCCTGACTGCAAAAAACAACAACTTGGCAAGATCCTAATACCAAATAATCTTGGGATCCAGTGAGGCTTTTCTGGGTTCACAACCGCAACAATAACAACAACAGCAGCAAATCTCACTTGCGAGCAGGCCAGGGCAAATTCCCGACTCGGCTCAACAACAACAAACGCACTAAATTCAATGGGGAATGTACAGCCATCTAATTGAGTATGTTTGTACTGTATGCATGTTGAACTTCTTTCGCGCCGTACGTAGCCAACTGTGCCAATCAGAGGTGAGGGTGAAGTTGTTTTCATTTATTTTATTTTACCTATGTGACATTACCGAAAAAAACAAAGAGTATGGGTACAAAAAAGCAGTCCTAAAGAAATGAGTTTGTCAATCTAGACGATTTGAACGTGCATAGCTCCGGTGGCTTCCTCATATCGGAAGAGCGTTCCAGACGGCCGCAGAAGCGCATCTGAAAGCGCCGCGCGATGATGCGGTGACCACCGCCTTTGTTCGCGGGCTAGCCAAAAGCCGCCGCTGCGAGCATGAATGCATGTACGTCGAACTTCTTTCGCACCGTACATAGCCAACCGTCCTACTTGTAGGTACGTGGAGGAGAAGGACGACAAACTAAAAACACAAAGCAGCCTCGAGCCTCCGCTGGCTGACTAACACCGACAAACGAACAAACGACCGATCGAACGGACCGAACGATAACCCTCTCCGGCGACGGCCTTTCCCCCCCGGCCGCCGAAGGTGATCATCAACGTGGGCGGCCTGCGATTCTCCATGCCGTGGACGACGCTGGACGAGGGCTGCCCCTCGGAGCGCCTGGGGCGCCTGCGTTCCTGCAACAGCCACGACGACCTGATGGCGCTGTGCGACGACTACGACGTCGCCTGCAACGAGTTCTTCTTCGACCGCCACCCGGCCGCGTTCGGCGCCATCGCCGCGTGCCTGCGCGCGGGCAAGCTGCGTGTGTCGCGGGGCACCTGCGCCCTCGCCTTCCGCGAGGAGCTCGCCTACTGGGGCGTGGACGAGGCGCGCCTCGAGTGGTGCTGCCGCCGCCGCCTCTACCAGAAGCAGGAGGAGGAGGCGGAGGCTGTCAAGCAACTCGAGGAGATGGAGACGGAGGAGGGGCAGCAAGGGGCGGACAAGTGCGACGAGATGGTGAGTCGGGCGGCCGCGGCGACGTAGCCGGCCGGCCGGCCGGCCAAGCTGGCCGTGGCCGGCCGCAACTTCCGCCGGGGGCAAGGGGCGGGTAAAGGCGCAGCCCTGCAGTTGCTCACTCGCGCCACCGTTGACCGGAGGGCCACCGCTAGGGAGGATCTCGGGAGAGTTTTGCCGCGATGGGGGGCGGCGGGGTGGTGGTGGTGGGCGATCGTTCCACGACCGCCGCACGTGATTGGGAGAGGTCGGGGCACTCACGCTTGACCCTGCCAGCCGAGGCCCCTGGAGGTCACGGGAGGCCAAGGGAGGGAAACTCGTCACTGGCAGCAGCAATGCATCGCGGTGCTAACGCTGAAAAGTTCCCCCCGTGGGTGCATTGGGCTTTAAGTGGCGAGATGTTAACTACCTCGCCTGGTATGCAGGAGGTCGTGGATTCGACCCCGACCCTGACAGTGCCTGTGTATTTGGAGTTTGCGTGTTCTCTCTCTCTCTCTCTCCGTGGTCGCGTGCATTTTTTTTTCTCCGGGTCCTCTGGTTTTTCCCTCCGTGTTTAGAATCAACATCACGCGTTCAGAGTATTTGGCTGCTACAAATTTCGTGGCCGGTTCGCTTCTGATAAAGAGCATAGCTCAGTGGGCCTTACCTGCTTAAATGAAAATAAAAAGTAGTTCATTCTTTTGGTTTATTTAAGGGAAACGAAGAAAAACGTCAAAAGTGATTTCCTGCTCCAACGAGCATTCAGGCAACGCTCATCGCCTGTCTACAGCCCCGACCCAGCGGTGGGGATTCCGCATCCCTTGTTGCTGAAGTCAACTTCCCCTGTGCTACAACCACTCTTGGCTTAAGTCGATATCGTTTTCATGACCTCGGAGGGATGATGGGCAGAGTCAATCCTCCCTCCCTCCCTCCCTCCATCCCTCCCTCCCTCCCTCCCTCCCTCCCTCCCTCCCCTCCCTCCCTCCCTCCCATCCCTCCCTCCCCTCCCTCCTTCCCTCCCTCCCTCCCTCCCCTCCCTCCCTCCCTCCCTCCCTCCCCTCCCTCCCTCCCTCCCTCCCCTCCCTCCCTCCCTCCCCTCCCTCCCTCCCCTCCCTCCCTCCCCTCCCTCCCCTCCCTCCCCTATCCCCAACCAGGATGTGAACTCGCAAGCTTCCCATTGAGGGCCGCTCGCTCTGCCGTTGAGCCAACCGGCCGGTTGCTGTAGACGAACCGAAAAAAAAAAGCCTAATTCTTAATCTTTTAGAGTGCAAAAAATAAACCCCAACAACATTGGCTTCCCAAATCTGGAGCGTTGTCCAAATGTGGTCACCGTAATCATAATCAGCATCGGCATTTAATATCTTTAATGCGCTCCACCGCCCGCTACATCCCCGACGCACATGCAGAATGGTTTCACGCGTGAACCCAACGGCCCACAGATCTATTAATTTATTAATGCAAGAATCACATGACTGTACGGAGAACCGTGCAAGTGAATACGATACAAGAAAAACAATACGTTCAGCGTTTTGTCGTTTTCCTCCTGGAAGGCAAAGATCTCTCGTGTAGCCTGAACACACTCATACTCATTGGTTCGTTCGGTAAAGTCACGTGGGCATAAAATAAAATAAATCACGACGTTTCGGGCGCAACACAAGCGTCCGTCATCAGGTGGGAAAGCGTCACGGACGCTTGTGTTGGGCCCGAAACGTCGTGATTTATTTTATTTTATACCCACGTGGACTTTACCGAAAGAACCAAAGAGTATGGATTCCTGCAGTCACGAAAACTTCAAATCCAAGACTGAACACATTTGTCGGGCAAGTCAGAATCAGAATCTTTATTTAAACTGCAGGAGGAATCCGATGAGCTATGAAGCTCTTTTTCACAGATTTCCAGTATGGGCGAGCACCTATGAGGGGGTGGGTGGCCAGAACCACACCCGGCCACCTTTGTCTCCCGAGCTGCAACAATGACATACCACACCAGGTACTCATTTGAGGATGAGTCGACCTAGGGGAGTACACGGACCGGTTCAAGTAATCGTCACACACTGGTCACGCGGCCGGTCCACACGTGCAGGCCTGCCGTGGAGTTTCAAATTTACAAACAAATGTGAAACAAAAAAAATGATCTTTTTTTATTTTTCCAGGTAAGGCCGACTGAGCTACTATAGAGTTGTTTTGTCAACATCGCGTGTAAATATATAGCAGCCAAATATTCTAAATGCACGTTTCGTCGTTCCACCCCCACTGCTCAGAGCCCTCATGGAGGGGGAGAGGGTGCGGGGGAGAGGTCGTGCAGGCAGCGGCATGGATACCGTGCAGGAGAAGATTATTCCATAATACAGGTGTTTTGGGTTACATTGCGTAAATATACGAATGTGTCTGTACTCTTTGGATTCCTGCAGTCACGAAAGCTTCAAATCAAGATATAAATGCGTCGTAAAACCTGCCAACACCCGACACGGCCAACTAGTAAGGGTTGTCACGTAAACAGAACGTGCCAATTCGTTACGAGTACAGCACACCGGTGTGTCGGAGAGCCAAGCCACAACATTTGCAATGTAACCTTCCCAATTGGTTGTGTCGGGTGGTGGCGGGTTTAACGACACATTTATATATTTACGCGATCTAATCCCCCAATTAGTCTTGTCCAGTAGTAACTATATTCTTGGTTGTTTCGGTAAAGTCATGTAGAAGGGAAACAATAAAATAATAAAAATATAAAAAAATTAAATTCTCACGGACGTTTCGACTGCAACACAAGCAATCATCATCAGGTGTGAAAACCGCAGCAAGAAAATTTGAAAAAAGTGGCGTTTTTTTTTACGTTAGCACCACGGAGAGCGATTTGACAGTTTGCTCAGATGGACGAGTCCATCTATGTTCGGAAAAGAGGAGGGGGGAGACGAAAATAATGGATGCGGTCTGAAAGCCACCGTAAGCGTGAACAATCAATTAAGACCCGAAATGGTTTATCAAATCCTTCCAATGATTGCTAAGCCATAATCCATCTTCTCAGTTGAAATTGTCTCTGTGTTTGTATATGTGGATAGCCTCATGAACGAATCTTTCATGGTAGCCAGATGGTTTGCAAAATAACCTCTGTCTTGGAGAAGTCAATGTCATGTGAGCCTACTGAATTATAACAGTGATCTGCCACGGCCGAGGTGTTGGTCCTACCGTGTTTTAGGTCTGCTTTGTGTTCACGGATGCGGTCCGAGACATGCCGTTTGGTTTCTCCAATGTAACTACTACCACAGAGGCAACTTAGTTTGTAGACGCCGTATGTCTGAAATCACATATTTTTCAGACGGAACCAGATCACGGATTTTATGTAATGTTTTGAATCGGACCTGGATCTTGTGTTTATTCAAGATTTTGGAGATTTTTTTTGTGATCCCCGCAATGTAGGGTAAAGTGATGGTTTTGAAAGGCTCCTCAAGAGGGTCCTTCTTCATGGTTGGAGTGATAGCTTTGCGGATTGTGTAGTTGGAGTAACCATTAGCCTTAAGAGCTTGGTGTACGTGCTTGAGTTCACTGGCTATGTGTTCCTGGTCGGATATGCATTGGGCTCTATGGTGCAGAGTCTTGATGAGGGAGTTCTTCTGGGATGAATGGTGGTGGGAATCCGGTTTCAGGTAAGCATCCGTATGGGTAGCTTTCCTGTAGACAGAGTGGCTCATTGAACCATCAGGTCTCTTTTTTATTAGGACATCCAAAAAAGGTAGCTTGCCATCTTTTTCGACATCCATGGTAAATCTGATGGCTGGGTGTATGGAATTGATGTGGTCGAAGAATTGGTCTAGAGCAGGCCGGCCATGTGGCCAGATGACAAAAGTGTCATCCACGTACCTCTTCCATAAGGTTGGGCGCAGAGTGGCAGTCTGGATGGTGTTAGTCTCAAATTTCTCCATGAAAATATTGAACTCAAGCACGTACACCAAGCTCTTAAGGCTAATGGTTACTCCGACTACACAATCCGCATGAGGGAGCATTTTGCTTTTCCATCGGAGAATGGATAAGCATACATTTAGTTACTAAATACTTTGATTTTAATGATTCTACCAGGGATTTTCATTATGTGGAATGAATATGTAATTGTTATAATTGTACTCTCCATTTTGCTTCATTCTACTACAAAGTTTCAAGTATTTTTTAACTTATAATTACTTTAAATATATTACAATTATAAGAGAATTTCAATATAATATTCTGAACATCTGCAGTTTTAGTTAGACGATGAATATTTTCAAGTGAAATTTATGCTAAATTTCAGCTTTCCAAGGCCTCCTTTCTAATAAATGTTTTCGCCTACAACATCATAGTGCAGCGCCACATGAAATACGCACTCCAATGACGATAGTTTAAAGCGATTTGAAGCTTGTTTAATTTTCAAAATGGAAATATGTTTTTGGGGAAGAGGAGGGGGCAGAGCTTTGTGACGTCATATTTGAGGGGGGGGGGGGGTCTGACTTTTTGTGACGCCGTGTGACGAGGAGGGGGGGGGGGGTCAAAAATCGTCCAAAATCGCGTGACGTCATTCACGGATGGCCCCATTCATATATCGCTCGCGGCTCCTCTCGCCTAATCACATCGCCGTTACGTTCACGGTCGCGAACGTTTCACGACGTCGGGGCGCTCCGTCGTCGTCAACATATGCTTTGTGTTCTTTGACGCTGTTGTTGTAAGCATGCTGCATGGTGGTCGTCAACGGGGGGCCTCAACTCGTAGCTTTGGCCACCAGAGAGGGGGGGGCCCGGCACCCCCTGCCCTCCCCCCCCCCGCCCCCCCCCCCCACACACCCCACGCTCCTTACGCTCCCGATAGCCGCTTAGGTCAAAAACAAAAAAAATTATCGGTTCTCATTATAATCTTTCGTTTTCAAACGTACCTTCGCCGACGCATCGTCGCTCGCGACAGACGGGGCGAAAACCCTTCGTGGTGTCTTTTTTTCGTCGCCGCTGCTTTTCGTCCCCTCCGCGGCGACGTCCCCGCAGGACGACAGCGGCGGCGGCGGCGTCCCAGCGAGGACGCGGGCGGCGAGGCGCTTGAGCTGGCTCATGAGCCGCCTGCGCGACATGGTGGAGGACCCCAGCTCGGGCCTCCCCGGGAAGATCTTCGCCTTCCTCTCGGTCGTCTTCGTCGCCATCACGGCCGTCAGCCTCTGCATCAGCACCATGCCCGACCTGCGCGCCGAGGAGGACAAGGTGACGGCGGGCGGGCCACGCTCACCTCGTGCAGCCCCGGGGCAGAGCCTCTACGATATGCGTCCCATGGCCCCTTTTGAAAAGCGGTATCCCGCCAAGTTCCGGCAGCGTCATCGTTTTGATTTGAAGCTTTCGTGACTGCAGGGATGCATGTTTGTGGTTCTTTCGGTAAAGTCACCACGTAGAAGCGAAATGATAAAATAATAACAATATGAAACAATAATAATGCTCACGACGTTTCGACTGCAACGCAAGCAATCAGCATCAGGTGTGAAGACCACAGCAAGAACATTTTGGGAAACCGCCACTTTTTTCAAAATTTTCTTGCTGTGGTTTTCACACCTGATGATGATTGCTTGTGTTGCAGTCGAAACGTCGTGATAATGTTATTGTTTTATATTTTTATTATTTTTATTGTTTCCCTTCTACGTGACTTTACCGAAAGAACCAATAATATATAGTGTTATCATTGATAAGCTCTGTTTTAATCTTGATTTGAAGCTTTCGTGACGCAGGAATACATATTCGAAAGTACCAGAGAGTGCAAGCTCTGTTTTGTCTATCTCACCAGGTAAGGCCAGGCTATCACAAACAATAGCTCACATGGAATTGTATAGCAGCCAAATACTCCTAAGCGCACGTTTATAAATCTAGAGGGGAAAAAAACGGAGGACCGGGAGAAAAATCCACGCGACCACGGAGAGAGAGAGAGAGAACTTGCAAACTCCAAAAATACAGGTGTCAGGGTCGGGGTTGGGTTCGAACCCACGACCTCCTGCATGCCAGGCAAGGTCGTTAACATCTCGGCGCAGTGGCGGCCTTTTGCACCGTACGCAGCCAACCATGCTAATCTCTTTCCTGGAGGCCCTTCCCGCCAGCAGTGGCCTGAGTAACCCATTGTACGTGTTGCGTAATCATAATAGAGCGCTGAGCAAGGGGAAGTGAAATATTGTTTGGCGAATGAGCACGTCGGGAGTGTGCGTTTACTCTTATCACGTGAACAGCACACTCTCAAATTAAAGTTAATAAAATTACCTGACACGTAAAAACGCCTACCTGTGAAATTAAATCACCCTGAAGGGAAATAACGAAGGGCATTCAAATTAAGATTGCGGTGAAATAGAGCCATTTTTATAAATCACACATCTAATATCTGACATTTAGTTTTCAAGGGACTCGGTGCGTCGCGATCATTTTTGTTCGTACTTCATGCCAGCGGTGTGGCCTTTTCATTTTTACAAACCAGTGTTTACCGTCCGCGTGCAAATTAACTTGTGACGCGTCACGCGGAATCGATCCGGAAAAAATTCGACTGGCCACTTAGCACCTTTCCCTTCAGAGACGTCGGCAAGGCGCAGGGTGGGGGTCCCGTTCAACCGCCGAATCTGGGAATGCGTGCGCAAGCGGCTTGGGGTTTTATTTACTTAGAGAGGTACAGCGCCGTTGTTGTTAAAGACGTTGTCACTCACCGCAGAGAAGCGTAGCGGCACGGCAGCACTCTGGCGCCAAACTGTGCCACACGCCCTCCCTCATGGCCTTGTGGGAGCCTCGGTACCGATAAAGTTATTTGATCTTTTCTTACGATTCCGTTCCGATGATGCACACGTGTGGAATGGAATCTGAAGAAAAATTGGTGACGTACGTCATCGGAATAGGAAAGGGTTATCCATAATAGAGGTTAATTTGGATTAGATCGCGTGAATGTTTAAATGTTGTGTCGTTAAACCCGCCACCACCCGACACAGCCAACTAGTAAGGGTTGTCATGTAAACATAACGTACCAATTCGTCACTAGTACAGCACTCGTGTATAGTGTATAGTGTAGTGTATAGTAGTGTAGTGTATAGTAGTGTAGTGTATAGTGTAGTGTATAGTAGTGTAGTGTATAGTAGTGTAGCGTAGAGTAGTGTAGTGTATATTATAGTGTATAGTGTAGTGTATAGTGGTGCAGTGTATAGTAGTGTAGTGTAGAGTAGTGTAGTGTATAGTGTAGTGTATAGTAGTGTATAGTGTAGTGTATAGTAGTGTATAGTGTAGTGTATAGTGTAGTGTATAGTAGTGTATAGTGTAGTGTATAGTGTAGTATACTAGTACAGCACACCGGTGTGTTGGAGAGCCAAGCCACAACATTCACAATCTGAGTACGAAAGTTCGCCAGTAATTACAACCGGCTTCATCAGGCGACAGCCAGATTTGACATGCTCTGTTTACGTGACAACCTTTACTAGTTGGCTGTGGAATGTCTACCACTGACTCAGGCCTAAACTTGAGAAGTGAGCACCGATGCTTCTACGCTCATTATATTGGGAAATCACTCTGAGTTTTTGACTTAAATTGTCTGAAATCTTGACTTAAAGCTTTCGTGACTGCAGGAATTCATATTTCGGTAAAGTCACGTGGAAGGGAAGTAATATACCTGCTAGTGGAGTGAGTTCCCTGCCCAGTGTTGTGATGCTCCCTGGCTATAGAGTGAGCTCCCTGCCCAGTGTTGTGATGCTCCCTGGCTATGGAGTGAGCTCCCTGCCCAGTGTTGTGCTGCTCCCTGGCTATGGAGTGAGCTCCCTGCCCAGAGGTGTTGTGCTGCTCCCTGGCTATGGAGTGAGCTCCCTGCCCAGTGTTGTGATGCTCCCTGGCTATGGAGTGAGCTCCCTGCCCAGTGGTGTGCTGCTCCCTGGCTATTGAGTGAGCTCCGTGCTCAGTGTTGTGCTGCTCCCTGGCTATGGAGTGAGCTCCCTGCCCAGTGTTGTGATGCTCCCTGGCTATGGAGTGAGCTCCCTGTCCAGTGTTGTGCTGCTCCCTGGCTATGGAGTGAGCTCCCTGCCCAGTGTTGTGCTGCTCCCTGGCTATGGAGTGAGCTCCCTGCCCAGTGTTGTGATGCTCTCTGGCTATGGAGTGAGCTCCCTGCCCAGTGCTGTGCTGCTCCCTGGCTATGGAGTGAGCTCCCTGCCCAGTGTTGTGCTGCTCTCTGGCTATGGAGTGAGCTCCCTGCCCAGAGGTGTTGTGCTGCTCCCTGGCTATGGAGTGAGCTCCCTGCCCAGTGTTGTGATGCTCCCTGGCTATGGAGTGAGCTCCCTGCCCAGTGCTGTGCTGCTCCCTGGCTATGGAGTGAGCTCCCTGCCCAGTGCTGTGCTGCTCCCTGGCTATGGAGTGAGCTCCCTGCCCAGTGTTGTGATGCTCCCTGGCTATGGAGTGAGCTCCCTGCCCAGAGGTGTTGTGCTGCTCCCTGGCTATGGAGTGAGCTCCCTGCCCAGTGGTGTTGGTGATTCGGAGGCGATCGCCACGTGGTTTAAACCTCGCAAGAAGACGCCTTTTTTCCTTCGGTTCTCAAAAATTTACTCCTCAATGTCTGCTTAGTCATTGTTTCTGTTGGTCTCTGGTTAAGGTTGTATTTTCGTGTGATGTACGGTGCCTTGAGTGCCTGCTAGAAAGGCGCTTGTAAAAACAATTTATTAATGCTGTTAAAGTGTTCAGTCGATCGTAAGTTTCTTTAGAGCCGATAGTGAATAAATAAATAAAAACAGCAGAAAACTGCCGTGGCCACCGTTTACATAGCAAGCCCTCTTAGGGCGCCACCTAAAAACAATCAACGTTTGTTTTCCTCAGCGACATTAACGGGATTCTTTATCCCAAATGATCTCGTGAGATTTCTCCAACAGTAAAAAGCCCCACAAAATCCCATTGCTCTCCTCAACAGAATATGGACTTGCGGGCCACGTTCTCGTTCGGATTTAACAATCTAATGAGGTCAATGGGAGACAATCGTTTGAATAATTGCGAGTGATTTATTTTGGTGTTCATTAATTCATTTGTCTTGCTTTGTTCACTTCCCCCCCCCCCCCCCCCCCCCCTCTCCCTTCCCATCCCATTTGAGGCCCTGTTGACCTTTACCTGGCAGCATTCTCATTCGGCAGTCTCTCACCCACAGGTCATTTTGTACAAACAAAACAAAAAATCTATGTTTCAAGTCACGACCGCTCTGACCTTCACTTCCGTCTGGAGGGAACACTTTAAACTACATTAACATTCCGTGTTGCCTTTTTATTTGGATTTCTTCTTCTTCTTCCTCTCCTTCTTCTTCTTCTCGCATCGTAATTTCTTCACGCAGGCAGAACACGTAAATAACTAAATAAATGTCCCGGCACATTTTGCTCTCGTTTCCTCCCTCGTCGTGCTTTCAAGCCTTGCCACCTCGAGACGAGGCCTTTGATTTTGACGCACGGCTAAAAAAAAAAAAAAACGCTTTGGCGTAATAAATCAGAGTGCCCTCCCCGCTGCTACTTGAATTGGAGTGCGGATTCCCTCCCGCGTCGGTGATGGCTCGCCGTTTCGCCGTCGGCAGGAGAGTGGCAGCGACGAGTTTGAATCCTCGTTGGGGGGGGGGTTGACCATGAAGCCCTCACCCATCGGAGTCGACGCAATGAGCAACAAGCTTTGTGACGAAATCGAGAGTGGTGAGACTTTTGTTCGATAGATTAAGAAGGAAAATTGCATTCATACCACTTAGCTTGCTGTCGGAGCGGTGTTCTTCGTTGCAAGGCCCCTGGTGGCCTTTATTGCGGCCCTGACGTGCGTCCCAGGACAATACAGAGAGAGTGACAACACCGTCCATCATCGTCGTGCTGCTGTCAAACCCAACAACGGTTTCAAATGCGTGGCGGCCGTCATCACACTGGTGATGTCTTGTCAGCGAAAGTGGCCCCCCTCTGAACATCGGTGAAGAACCACTGTGCTATGGGGTGCATTTCGTGGGCGGGCTACGATGGTACTGAGGTGTACAGGTCTTGGTTGCAACTGTGGTTGCGAAGGTCGCGATACAAACGGCGAATATCGGAAGGGTGCTTCAATACGCTACAGCAGGAGGGAACCGGTCTGAAACGTAAATATATCTGCAAATCACGACGACTTTCTTCGACGAAAAACAAAAATACTGTAAAAAACCAGTCCGATGTAAAGGCTCTCCCCTGCCATAGGAATGTGGAATTTCCAGCACTGACTGTACA